GTATAGGTCAATCCCCTCCCCTTGGCACCCCTGTCCATAGTCCAATTATAATTCACCCAACTGTCAGGTGGGAGATATCTTCAAAAAACATCATCAGGGTGGAATGCTGGACAGTTAACCTTGGCGGGAAACTCCCTCCACATGCGCAATGAGATGGTCAGGACAGCTTCTAGAATATTCCTCCAGCACATAATGATTCCCCTCCCAAATACCATGCCCCCCTCCCCGTTTCAATGGCAGCCAAAGCAGCAGCAAGACAGAGCCAGGGCACCCCCGCTGCCACCGCCATCCCAGCCTGGCTTTTTCTATGGCTTCCAATGTGAGTCTTTCGGCAGTGGCCACTCTGGGTGCATGTTCTATGCTTGTATGCTCTGCAGGAAGCTGGCCCACAACCATAGAGCATGCGTCAAGAGTGGCCAATGAAGTCTGCCTGATAAGATTAATTCAGTGCCCTTGCTCTCAGTACACTTGCCCCCTTTTCTCAGGAACTGCCATCTGGAAGCGTGTCATTTCAGTTGTAGATCCATTTATCTAATATAGCTTGTGCATGGAGAATAGAATGGAATAGAGTTTTAGGAAGTTTTGGGATAGTACGTACTTAATTATAAATAAATCATAATAGATACGGTAATTTATTTAAATAATTTATAAGGACATCCATCTTCCAAAAGTTATACTGCATGGGGTAACATATTAAAAGCAGCAAGAGGTTGACAAAAACATCCAAAGCCATAAACAAAAACATTGAACAAACAAAGCTTCCCAACCTCAAAGTCTAAGTGCTGGGAGTGGGGGTGGTTATTTTCATATGTAGGAATGTTTATTTCAATTCAGCCATTTTTATAAGCAAAATGTCTTCAAGCTGTCTAATAAATTGTTTGTTTGTTGGAGTTATAGCTTACCTTTTATTCAGAAACTGAGGGAGGGATACAAATACTTCATCTTCCTATTTTCCCTCCGCAATCTCAATCTTGCATGAAAGTTTGTGAGATATTTTGAGATATACGTAATTCATTCTATTTGTGATAACTCCAGCAGAAGGGGAAAAATGCAATCAGTTTGAAAAAGGGACTTAATTTTCCAATTGCTGTTTATCTCTGGGTGCTGGTTACCTCAGAACTGAAGGCTTCAGAGGGAGGAGCTGGTTTGACCCTGAGGGTATCTTTCTTATTCCAAAAATGAATACATGATAAAGACAGATATGGATGGAATGGATGAATACCTAGATTGCTAAATAGATAGTCAGATGGAATTTGTCACTGTTTTCTGGGATATAGTTTGTGATAAATTATAATTTATTTTGATTACTGTTAGAATTTATTGAAAAATACATTTATTTAGAGTTTTACTTTTTTCTTTGAAACACAAGCATATATTTGTTTTATATTTCCTATTACTACAGTGTGTTATTTATACTGTATAGAATGCTCAGTAATATTGGTTTGTTGCTCTTTATGAAGTTAAACGCAACATAATAGAGTGCATTTATGAAGCTGTTTTATCTGAAAGAGCAGGGATAAAAGGGAACGATTCTAAAACATGCTAAAAGTAATGAGATTCAAACACTAGCAATGATAAACCAGAAATTAAATCAATTCTGCTTTATAATTCAGAAGCTCAACCATTACTCTCATTCCAATTAATTTCAGTGGTAGTGATGATTTACAACTACTAAAAATAACAGGAGCAAAGGATTAGTATTGTTTTACAGTTTTGTTATTTCTCTAAAAAGCTATAAAATTGAACTCAACAAATTGATTTCAGACTTTGTCATGTTAGAGGACTGATAAAGCCTGGAATATCTTTCCCCTATAGATGTAGCTGCTCAGCTAAGTAGACAAGTCAATTTTGGCAACTGAGATGGTTCTTCCCTTTGGCACTTCAGAATAAGCAATTTGGATTGCTTAGCAATTTCAAGAGGAGGCACTACTTGGAGTTAACAAATGCCTTTTACAATGCTGAAAAGAAATCTTCTGAATAATCTAAACTTCCATTTACAGGAAGAATATTTTGAGAAACCGTGTATACATTCCACATCTTTATTTGTCTATGGCTCATTTATCGCATAAATGTACTCTAAATTGAATCTTACTCCTTTTCTCATAGCATTTCAGTCCTTGTTTAAAAGCTACTTCTTTATCACAGTGCTAATCCTTATATGTTTATTTAAAAATCTCTTTAGTACTGATTTAAGTACTGTTATAAATAGATTTTAATTCAACCAAAATAGGGTTCATTGAACCATTCTGACTCTTGTTTTGGGTTGTATGGTGATTTGCTGTATGTGGTAATTGTACATTGGGTGACTTTGGGGAGTCATTTTCATTCACAGAACATTTGGTATGGAGCAAAATAGAATAAAAAATGCTATGACAGGTTATTTTGAAGTTTTCTTTAAAAATAGTATATTTATCTCTATCTATATTTGATATATATTTCATATATAAATAAATGATACGACTGGTGCCTTATTATATGGAAAATGTTGCCATCAATCTTGTAAGAGGCTGAAGTGTACCCTATTCTTAAGAAGCTTTCCTATCATCCACAAGTGCTAAATAAACCCCTGATCTCAAACTTTCCTTTTACACACACACACACGCACAGGCACAGGCACAGGCACACGCACACGCACAGGCACACTGTCTTGAGAGATCAATCACTGTTTTGGAGATGGATATCATTAGTGTGCTGAAGATGCCCAATATAAATGTCCACACTGGATCTTACTGAAAATTCTGTTGAAGTTTGATGTCTGGAGGTTGTGTGGGTTTAGAGGAGACAAAAATAACTAAAGTAGACCCTGAGCAAGATGGAGCTATTGTTTCCATGTTGTAGCTCCCACTGTGATCTAGTGCTGTTTTAATGGAGGATGTTACCACAGAATCAAATCTGTAACTTGAAGACATTTTGTATATATGGTTTCTGTCTGAGCAATAGGTAGAGGCCATGATACAGGGTCCATCTCCAGCTTCAGTGTGTACCTAGAGAAAAAAGACCTTGCTGGTGTGGCTCATGCTTTTATTACAACCTGTCTGGAACATTCTAATATGCTTAGGGTGGTCTTTAAAAACCATTTAGAAAGTGTAAATGATCCAGAATACAGAGACTCACGAATAGCTTTCTGGGTGCAATTTAAAGTGCTGTTTTTCACTTATAAAGATCCTCTATAGCTTGGGTCCAGGTTAACTTCAAGACAGCATTCCCCAGGTAGAATTGCCTGACCTGTAGTATTTTTGGGACAGCCGAGGTGGCGCAGTGGTTAAATGCAGCACTGCAGGCTACTTCAGCTGACTGCAGTTCGGCTGTTCAAATCTCACCGGCTCAGGGTTGACTCAGCCTTCCATCCTTCCGAGGTGGGTAAAATGAGGACCCGGATTGTTGTTGGGGGCGATATGCTGACTCTGTAAACCGCTTAGAGAGGGCTGAAAGCCCTATGAAGCGGTATGTAAATTTAACTGCTATTGCTATTGCTATTGCTATAAAATGAGCTCTCGATGCCGGACTCCTTCACCAGGGTTACAAGGAAAACTTGGGTCGGAAGCGGAACCTCTTCTTGAAGAATTTCTCATGCTGCTCTCCCCCCTCCTCTCTAGCGCATACCTTTTACATGCTGTGGTCCTGTCCATCACATCAGTGTGGAGGAGGAAGGGTGCCCAAAAGATTCATGTGGAAAGTCACCCTGAGGCTCCCTTTCGCTTTCAAGTCAATTCGGTGACGGGGCTTCCTGCAGAAACCGATGACAATTTAGTCCAGTGGTAGTCAACCTGGTCCCTACCACCCACTAGTGGGTATTCCAGCTTTCATGGTGGGCGGTAGGGGTTTGCTGTAACTCTGCTTTATAAATTTTATAAAGTAAAGTTACTTCCCTACTTTATAAATCACCATTGCTGTGGAACCAGTGGGCGGCTAGAAAATTTTACTACTAACAGAGATACAAAAGTGGGCGGTAGGTATAAAAAGGTTGACTACCCCTGATTTAGCCAGTGAATTGGGAAGCGCATTCCTGGGCTTTCCTCCTTCATGCCACTGCTCATAGCCCTTGGGAGAGGCCAGGAAGCCCCTGGAAGCTTTGGGAGAAAGAAGGTGAATGCTGTATTTCCGCTCTGAGTTTTTTTTTGGAAGGGGGAGACAGTGGTGGGTTTCCATTTTTTTAAATCACCAGTTTGCTTGTGTGCATGCTCGTGCATGCATGTGATGCTTCTGCGCATGCACAGAAATATCCAGGCTGGTGGGCAGAGCCTCCGACCACCACCACTAGCAGTTCCACTGATCTGGGAGCAACCCATTTCTGGAGGGGGGAGAGGTGGTGAAATAATGACTTTTCTTTCCCCACTATCTCTCTATGTGCCTAGCTTAGCTATTGTGTTATTCAATAGGATTGTGCGGAGGAGTCTCAGTTATTGGTTAGCCAAAATACCCTCCTGATCAGTAACTTGGTTTCCCCCCCCCCACCTGTTCATAAGCCCTAAGAGTTATCTGCAAAGCCTGAATTAAAACTATTCATAGCTTGTCTCTAAAAGTCTAGGGTTCACTGCGTTATCTTACGTACACCACACCTATAATCCAGAAGCCTTGACTCTTTTAACTTTCGCAAGTTCAAAAGCATGCCAAATGCAAACATTTACTTTTCAATTAAAAGTTGTTTATATCATTGAAAGCTCTGTTACTGTGTTTTTCTTTTAAGGAAAAAGATGCTAATGTACGAGGTTTTTATTTCTAAACTAAAATCTCAGTGTTCAGGTTAAATTGCTGTGTTGGCACTTTGAGATAAATAAGTGGGCTTTTGGTTGCAGTTTGGGCACTCGGTCTCTAAAAGGTTTGCCATTACTGCCATATAGGTTGCATTCTGAACTTTTAATGTCACAGTTTTTGCCCTTGGTGAAATCTACTTCTATGTCTTAATCATGTTAGGTGACTGAATGAAATTGAAATCACGATAAAATAAACAAATATATGTCTTTATGTGTAAAATATTGTTTTTCCCCTTTTGTTTTTAGGTATGGAAAAATTGTATCTACAAAAGCAATCCTAGACAAAAATACAAATCAGTGCAAAGGTAAGTGAAAAAGTCCTTCTCGAAAATTCCACATCAGTTTGATTGATTGGTTTGTTCATTGCCAAAGTTCAGGCTCTGAGAGTGCAATCAACATAATATACAGTAGAAAGCATGTTTAATAATGCCAGTTCTTGGAGCTGTACTTCCAGTAATATTGCTCATTAATTTTTTTCATTAACAAACAAAATGAAAATCACAAATCAGAACAACTATCAAATTGCTTTGCCAACCAAGTAAATTACCTTCTAATTACACAGTGTCATCTGATTTGAACAATATGACTGGTAATACAAATTGATTTACTACATATAAATACAAAACTCTTTGAGGGAAATGCCTTGTTCCATATTTTATATGTAGATGTCTTTTGCTCCAGTCTTTAGAGAAGAAAAGTTTAAATTTGGAGCTGTGGGGACTCCAAAATTGCCACACTATATTGTGAAAATATAACATTATATTTTTTACTCTGCATTTATTATTAGACAAATATTTTCCATTTTTTATCTTCAGAATAATACTGCAATAGTAGGACGTCAGTTGTGCTTATTTAACTTCTTACAAACTTTTAAAAATACCCATATAGAAAAGATCTCGATAGTTTATTCAGAGTTGTACTTGTTTTCTATAAGGTGATCTCTGCTGGTGTGTGTGTGTGTGTGTGTGTGTGTGTGTGTGTGTGTGTGTGTGTGTGCAGCTGATGTCCAATATTAATCTTTCTGAAACAGACTTTGCTTACCTGATGTCTTCCTGATCACCTTCGGTCTACTTCATCTTCAAATAGCTTGGCTAGAGATTGTTGGAATTGTTATCCAGCATTTAGAAGACACCAAGTTGAAAAAATTCGTCTAACTAGATTGGAAAAATATGTTTTAAAGGAATGACAATTTTACAATCTTATTTTGAGAGCAACAGCTGAGAAAAGTTGCATCTATAATGTTTTAGATAAATAGTAACAGACTTACTTAGTAACAGAACACATTTCAAGTAAGGTGAAAATGACAAAAATATTCATATTCTGCTCTTCTATCATATATTTCTGAATGAAATATTTATACTGCCCTTTTGTTGCTGTGCTACAGTGCTTATTTTTTTAAACAAACTGTGATTAAAAATGTTAGTTGACAATGTTATAGTTTTAAGATCAAATCCTAGAATGCTATATAGGTAATCCTTGACTTACCATTATTTGTTTATTGATAGTTCAAAGTTATAAAGACCTTGGGAAAAGTGATTTATGATTCATCCGCAAAGTTCTGACTGTGCACAATCTTGTAGTTTTGTGATTTTGTGATCACAATTTGGGCACTTGGCAACTGACTCACAGTTGACTTACAACTCTTGCAGTATTTTACCATAATGTGATCACGACTGTAGTTAGCTTCTGACAAGCAAAGTCAATTGGGAAAGCTGGATTTGCTTAACATCCATGTGATTAACCTACTGACCACATGGTTCACTTATCAACTATGATAATTCACTTAATGACCATAGTAAATATGGCTTTAAAATTGGACTTAAGCATGTGATGACTCATGTACTGAATGCATTGCTTAGCGACCAAAATTCTAATCCAAACTGTGGGCATTAGCTGAGGACTACCTGTATTTATGGATGACTATGTTTTTTTTGACCTACAGCAATATAGGAGAAAAGGTTTCCAGCTTCTGAATTATGGTATTCCCAAGATATTATAGGAAGCACAGTAGCCTCAGCTTAAAATGGATCTGAATTTACTCTCTTTCTGATTTAAATCATGTTTATGTCAAACTGTTCTTAATGAACTCAACAAGAAAATACTAGCTTAGGTCTAATGACAATTAATTTTTGCTGAAATATCATTTAGAAAGGTTTCTTTTTAAATGACTACACAATATGCCCTTATATGTGTAGACTAATTTTAATTTTTTAGGATATGTATCTGGGTAAAATGAAGGACGATGCCATAAGTGAAATATTTGAAAGAATATATAGATGGCATGCTGAACTCTGTCCTATCTTTCCTCTAGAGCTCCATTCCCTTTCTAATGTCTTTAACTGGATGCCAATTAAATGCACAGATCATTGAAGGGTAGACAGATACAGAGAAAGTATTAAGTAAGAGATGTAACCAATTGAATTTGCAAAGACCTTTTTCTTTACATTTTAGAATTAATGGTGTGAAACCCCCATCTGAATATGTAGTCTGCCAACATGTTGCTATGCAGAATACTACTGTATATCTGCCCAACAAATCTATCTATATTTTCAATTGCTTAAGGTCTTCACGTTGACCTATTACTTTTTATAAAGTTAATATGCAAAGATGTTTTTTAAGCAAACAAGATTTGATAGCATTGTCATTTCTGGTTTGCCTTCATAGTTGATCTCATTTGGGTGCCTACTTTCATTCTTTTCCCACTGGAAATCCTACTAAATTACTTCAGTAATCATGATGATCATGTAATTCTCTAGTGAGGCTGTGATCTGCTTTTATACCATTAGTTGGCATAATGTTATCTGATGATTTGCAAGCCAAAGAGCAAATAGCCAGATTGCATATACAAATATACAATTTCCTGACATTTCCTAAAAATGTCAGCCATCAATGTTATTGCATTCTCACTAAAGTAATATTCACTTTGCATTTTATTGTAATTAGCATAGTATCTAAAAGACCATCTACTTTTATAGTAACCCTGCTTAACCCTAGAGGACTTCATCAGAAAGGTTTTGGCAGATGCATTTAGGTTTGGCTAAAACCTATCCTTAGTGTTCACATATTCTCTGTTGAGATCTATCCCCTAGGTAACTTACGTTTAAAGCAGAACTTAAAAACTGTGCCGCTTATTCACTGTTTTGGTATGTTGTAAGTTTTGCTTTTGTTTCTATAGTTTTTCACATTAATACTCTTGTCAGGCTTAGGCATTTTTTTAAAAAGTTTATTTATACCTGCAATCCTAGATTGCAATTAAAACAATGAATAGGAGCATTTATTCATGGGACTGCTTTATACATCTGTGATATTTGGTAACCATGCTTTTTAAAAATTGTTTTAATTAAAAAGCTATCTTGGGAATCTTCTGTAAGACTGAAAAGTCTGCTTCTACAATTCAAAAGAATGTAATTATGATTATTTTTCTCCAGTTTCTCAGCTGTTTTGTTTCTCACATCCTTGCTAAACATATCAATAGCAGCCAGTAAGAACAAGATTGAAATATTTGTATTTTATTGGTTGTCAAGCAGGACTAGAATAAAGACCATAAAAATGATTAACAACGGAACATAAAAAAAGAAACTGAAGGCTTGATTGTGGATGCTCAATAGCATGCTCTTTGAGCAATCAAAGTATTAGTTTAAAAAAGTTTTTTTAAGTTTTAAAAATCCTCAAATGTTCCCATGTTTATATTGTTCAAAGAAGCAGAAGTAACAGTAGACCATATATGTAGCATTGGAAGATTATCCAAAAAGTAGTGAAAAAGATGCACTGAAGCTAGTATACCAGGAAGGCTTACTGACTACTTGAAAGATTAAACTGGCCTACAAGAAAGACCAAGTGAAGAACAGAATAGAGGCACAGGAAGACAAAACATTACATGGCTAGTACATTAAAAATTAGCTGGGAAAACAGATAATAACAAGCCCTGGTAATGACTAAGAGAAGGAAAGTCAAAGAAAGAGATGGGGGGGGGGGCTAATTCTGGTTGCTCAAGGCCAATCCTTAAGAACAAATTCATACAAAGCCAGAATTGAGAAGACAGTAACAGACAGCAAATGCCGCCTATGGAAAGAATTTGAAAAAAAAAACCCAGTGGACCACCTGAACTGACTGCAAGAAGATTACACAGACTGGCAACAAACAACGGCATGACAAAGTAGCAACAATAGTGCATTGGAAGATCTGCAAGCAATATCATTTGCCTGAAAGCAAGTACTGGTGGGACCATAAAATAGACAAAGTCATAGAAAATGAACAATCTGAATTGCTCTGGGACTTTAGAATTCAAACAGACAGGCACCTTCTACATAATACCCAGATTTAACAACTGTCAATAAGAAAAAACAAAAAAGTGGATAGTGTACATTGCAGTACCTGGAGATAGCAGAATAGAAGAGAAAGAACTGGAGAAGATAACAAAACTACAAAGACCTGTTAAAAAAAGTAGAAGCAAAGGTAGTACCAATAGAAATAGGTGCCTTGGGTGCAATCCCTAAAACACCATTGGCTTAAATTTAAACACCATTGGCATTTACAAATTAGCCATCAGACAATTGCAAAAGGTGGCTTTACTTATACTTACAGATATCTTGTGATGATATCTGTAGCACCATGAAACATCCAGATCTGCCTATCTCAAGCCTTTTGAAAGGACTCGATAGGTAAACAAAAATGTCAAATCCAATCTGAACATCTGTCTGATTGTGCAAAAAACCATAGTAATAAATATACAGATGTCTCCAGATCTTTGGAAATGACTTGATAGGTAGCCAAAATGCCAAATCCAGTCTGAACATCTGGCTGACTGTTGAGTCTGCTGCCTTTCTATGAATATGAAAATATTAATTTCTTCACCTGAGTGTATCTCTGGAAGTAATCCTAAAAAAAATTCAGTGAATTTCAAAAAAATCTGCCTTGGAATATTGCCTTAAAATTGGTTTCTGTTGAGAAATGTTTGTGCGAAAGATATAAAATATATCAGTTGTGAACTGAGAATACAGTACATATTTAACTAAGCAGTGCAACTCTTTTCTAAAGTTCACTTTTGCCAGTGTAAATGTGAAATTCGATACATAAGATAAATAAAAGTAGAGATTTCTATTATATAATGAGGCCATGTCAGGAATAACATTTCAGTATATAACATATATTACTGTGGAATTTTGGTGCTCTCTGAGCTTGATGGTTGTCTTGCAGATGTTTCATTATCAAACTATGTAACATCATCAGTGTTAGCTTCTATTGATAGAGACATAACCTTTCTTATTTGGGGATCTAAAATAGCAATGCTGTCAAGCATAGTCCC